AAAAAAAAAGCTGGAAGTGGCGCTGTGGCTCAAGTGGTAGAGTGCTTGCCATGAGCTGAAGAGCTGAGGGACAGCGCCCAGGCCCAGAGTAGAGTTCAGGCCCCACGACCGGACCCCCCCCCAAAAAAAAAAGAGTCTCATGGACTTTCTTGCCCAGGCTGGTTTTGAACCAGGATCCTCAGATCTCAGCCTCCTGAGTAGCTATGATTACAGGCGTTGAGTTTCTTCTCTCTATTTAACGACTGGAAAACCAGAAGTGGAGTTGTGGCTCAAAGTGATAGAGCACTAACCTTGAGCAAAAAGTTCAGGAACAGTAACCTTGGATTTAAGTCCCATGACTGACTGACCAACAACAACAACAACAAAAAGAATGGTATCTAAAGCCCAGCATGGCAGTGTATATTTATACTCCTAGCCATTCAGAAAGAGGCTCTCAAGAGGATCTGGTATAAGGCCAGAGCAAAAAAAAATTTTTTTTGGGGGGGGGGTCCGGTTGTAGGGCCTGAACTCTGGGCCTGGGTACTGTCCCTCAGCTCTTCAGCCCAAGGCTAGCGCTCTACCACTTGAGCCACAGCACCACTTCTGGCTTTTTTCTTTTTTTTTTTTTAATTAATTAATTAATTAATTTTTTATTTGTGAACATACTGTACAGAGGGGTTACAATTACATGGGCAGGATAATGCGTACATTTCTTACCAAGCATTGCAGCCTCCTCCTTTGGTTTACCCTTCACATCCCTTCCCAGCCTCCCCCCTCCCCCCCATGGCTTTTTTCTTTTTGCTTATGTGGTGCTAAGGAATTGAACCCAGGCCTCAGGCATGCAACGCAAGCGCTCTACCACTGAGCCACTTTCCCAGCCCCAGAGCAAAATTTTCACAAGACCTCAACTTAACACTTTGAGGTCAGATGACAACCTCAAAAGTATGGATCTCAAAAAAGTGCTGTCGCTCAAAGTGTTAGAGCACTAGCTTTAAGCAGAAGAGCTCAAGGACAGGGCCCAGGCCCTGAGTTCAAGCCCCAAGACCAACAACAACAAAAAAAAGTATAGATCTCATTTTTCCATGAGAGCATTGTTAAGGAAATGAAACACTGCAATGCATCATGACATTCCTTCAAATGATAAAAACAACCTTTTAACTTCTGCTGAAGGGCAGGACCTTGAGCTTGCAAGCTAGGCAATCTACTGCTGAGTCATGCCTCTAGTTCTAATCTTTTGTATCTCCCTGACTAAATGAAAGAAGAAAAGATTTTGTTCATACCTCTGTCCCCCACGCGCTCCTTCACCCACTGGGTGGCTGCAGCAATGCTCTCTGTGTTGGTGACATCTAGGATCACGGTCTCCAGCCTTTCTGACGTCTTGTTCCTCAGCTGCTCAGCCCCCTTCTCCGTCAGACATGCAGCCAGCACCCTCAAGCCTCGCATGTCCAGCTGTCTGGCCAGCAGGTTCCCGAAGCCCGAGTCACAGCCTGTGATGAAGACATACTTGTCCTGGAGGTGGCTCACCACCTGCCTCTCTCGGTACCAGCGCAGCAGGTAGTACAGACCCACGAGGACCACAAAGTAGAGCCACATTGCCAAGGTACGTCCTTCAATAGAAAGAGAACAGCTATCACTGGTTGTGGTAGTACATACACACTAGTAACTCTAACTACTCAAAGGCTGAAAGAGAAAGATCAAAATTTTGAGACTAGCCTGAGCAATTTACGAAAATGTGTCTCAAAATAAAATTTTCAAAAAAGGTGGCTCAGTGGTAGAGCACTTGCCTAGCATGCATGAGGCCCTGGGTTCAATTCCTCAGCACCATATAAGCAAAAAGAAAAAAGCCGGAAGTGGCACTGTGGCTCAAGTCATAGAACGCTAGCCTTGAACTGAAGAGCTGAGGGACAGCGCCCAGGCCCAGAGTTCAGGCCCCACGACCAGACCCAAAAAAAATTAAAAAAAAAAAAAATTAAAAAGTGACTGGGGATATAACTCAGTGGTAGAGCATTTGCCTAACACTCAAGAGACCCTGGGTCATTCCCTAGTACCACAATTCTAAAAATTGGGTTGTTTTATTTTTGTTGTTGGGTTTTTTTGGTTGTTTGTTTGTTTGTTTTTGTCAATCCTGGGGCTTGAACTCAGGAACTGAATCTCTCTGTGCTCAAGTCTAACACTCTACCACTTGGGCCACAATGCCACTTCTGGATATTTTTGTTTGTGTGACAATGAGGAATCAAACCCAGGGCTTCATGCATGGTAGGCAAGCACTCTACCACTAAGCCACATTCCCAGTCCCAATTTTTCTTTTTCTGTCAGTTGTGGAGCTTGAACTCTGGGCTTGGGCACTGTCCCTGCACTCTTCAGCTCTAAGGCAAGCACACTACCACTTGAGCCACAGTGCCACTTCCGGTTTTCTAGTGGTTTATTGGAGATAAGAGTCAAACGGACTTTCCTGCCTGGGCTGGCTTTGAACCATGACCCTTAGATCTCAGCCTCCTGAGTAGCTAGGATTACTGGTGTGAACCACCAGCGCCCGGCTTCTAAAAAATTTTTTTAAAAAGAGGAAGAGAGGGAGAGAGAAAAGGAAGGAAGGGAGGGAGGGAGGGAGGGAGGGA